CTGGCTTTCTGGCAAACATACGGGCCCTAAAAAAAAAACCCCCCCCCCCCCCCGCCCCCCCCCCCCCAAAAAAAAGGGCTTCGGTAGCTCCGGAATTGTTTAGAGTTCAATGGAGGGGTTTGTAAAAAATTATTTAATTAGTTTTTTTTATTCCTTCATTTATTTCTTTAATTCGACCCAGAGAGCGACACATAGAGAGAGGGGGGAAAGTGAGAAAGCAAGCCACCAGGTCTGGGACTCGAACCGTGGCCTGTGGGAGTGTCCAGCACCTTAACCACCACGCCACCTGCTGGAAGTCTTGTAAAATAAGGGTTTCCCCTATTTTAATAAGGGTAGTGGTAGTTCAAAAGAGCTGGATGAGGTGAAAGACATCGGAAGTACAGAGCGGACAGACGCCAGACGGTGAACAGTAGCACAGCCGAAGGACCTTCCTGGGGCAGGTCCCCAGTTTCCATCCCAGGCCCTCCCAGGGTATACTGGGCATGGGGGCAGTCACCTGGGAAGAGGGTTGTCTTTTTCTCTTTTCCTTTTTTTTTATAATTTGCCCGAGGGCGCACGTGGTAGCCAGAGAGACACATCAGGGGTACAAAGTCCCTCCAGGGGGAATAATCACGTTGCCATCCTTGCCTCTCTGTTCCCCTTCCTTTCAGGGTTTTCGGGCATGCATGCATATGTGCCTGGTATGTTTCCCAGGCCTCTGGGTGGGGAGCTCAGTGAACTACGCTGTTTGGGCCCTGTGGGATCCGGCTCCCCCAGCCACCAGGCCACGGGCTGGCTCTGTCTGGCTCCAGTGGTCAGTTTCTAATGGGCAGGATCCGTCTTTCCTGTCACGTGACAGTTTTCACTGAACCAAGTACACCGTCGTCACTGACTTGAAAACCCCTGGTACTTTTTAGTTAGGGAACCCTCAAGCAGTTCTTTACACAAATGCTAACTGTCGTATCGTTTTTATGAGCTTGCTTTGTTTATATATTGAATAATCCATTGAATGCCTGCAAGATTTTGAAGTTGAGCAAGGGTGATAAAATCGATTCCCGAATCCTGGATTCGAATGCGTTCTCAGAACCCTTCGACGTTTCGCGTGTCCATTGAACTTCTGGGATGGGTTCATAGCGAACATCCATGACATCGGCGTCTGCAGTGTAGCCCCAGGACAGAGGTGTTCAGGACAGAGCGTGCTTGCCAGCCACTCCAGTGCAATACGTCAGCCGATCTGACTTACGTTTGGAAACAGGAGCCAGGCTGATTCGATTGAATGACCTGCCTTACTGCTGTGAGACCGTAACTGAGATCCATCTATGAAGCTTCTGGGGAGGTATTGGTGTGTCGTTTTCCACCTTTGCTCTTGAATCGTAAATGACCCCAAACTCTGACAATACATTTCAACAACAGTCACATTCAATTGACTTTATTCCTTTAGAATATGTTTTACATTTGTAAAATTGTGGCAAGGTGAGTGACACACGAAAAGAACTTAGCTCAAAAGTTTGAATTCTCGGGAACCAGCAGTTGGCGTAATGGCTATGTCGCTGGACTTCCATGTAGTCGACCACAGTTTGAGTCCTGGACCCGGTGGCTTAAACTCACGCCGGGCGCGTGTGTGTGCGTGCCCAAGATCTCGAGAGGAGAATGGAGGAGAAGGGATTGCGGCGTGACCATCTCCCCTGGGGGGTGATTTCTCACTTTCTGTCTCTGTCTGTCTCTCTCTGTCTGTCTGGCGAGTGCACGAGCCCTATAGCGAAAAAACCTCTTAAAAAAAAAAAAAGTGTGAATTCTCCTTCCTTTGTATTCTCCAAAAAATGGAGCTGGAGGTAAGGCAGGTAAGCTCCCTGGATTCTATACAAGAACAAGTTGTGTGCACGTGAGATTTCCTTGGCTTCAGCCTGGTGAGTTACCAGACGCTTACGTCATCCTGTAGTCATTATCCCCTACAGGCTCCTGGCTTTGCACTGAGCAGTACTGTGCTTTTACACCCCTCTCCGTCCTGCAATTGAATTTTCATTGCCTACTGTGGTGCCACATCTGTCTGAAAAGCATCATCGACTCCACGTGGGAAGCTAATACCCATGCTCCTTTTTATAGGGGGAGGAGGGAGTTGTCATAGGGTATGTGCACTCACCAGAGAGAGACAGTGAGAGGAAAAGTGAGAAATCACCCCCCCCCCACGGGGTATGGCCACTGCGTAATCCCTCTTCCTCCTCCGTTCTCTTGGTATTCGGGGCACACGTGTCTGGTGTTATTTTCAAACCTCCAGGTCCAGGACTCAAACTATGGTCAGCCGTGTGGGAGTCCAGCACCTTAACCACCACACCACCTGTTGGACCACCCCACCCTAGCCCCGGCCTGATTCTCAAGGCACAGGTCCAGGACTCGAACCATGACCAGCCATGTGGGAGTTTACTGCCTTGACCACCATGCCACCTACAGACCCCTGTACTCATACTTCTTTTTTTTTTTTTTTTCTATTTTTGGAGAGGTTTTTGCTATAGGGCACGTGTGCTCGCCAGACAGACAGAGAGAGACAGAGAGACAGAAAGCGAGAAATCACCCCTCAGGGGGGATGGCCACGCCGCAATCCCTTCTCCTCCATTCTCCTCTCGGGATCTTGGGCACGCACGCACACGCGCCTGGCGTGAGTTTAAGCCACCGGGTCCAGGACTCGAACTGCAGTTGACTACGTGGGAGTCCAGCGACATAGCCATTACGCTAACTGCTGGTTCTTATGTGGTGAAAGTTTTAAGGAAGCAGGAGGAACTGGGTAAGAGTAAGCAGGGGAGAGAAACACTGATGAACGGAGCCCTGAAATCCCAAATGACAAGCCAGATAGACACAAGCCACACTCCGCCTCTGTCTTCCTACCCGCTTCATATGCAGATGCCAAACTTGGAAATGGAGGGGTTAGGATCCAACAGAGTTGATCACATCATACTTGTTTTGTTATAAAATGCATTTGTGACTGGGACTGGGAAAAACTTACTAAGGAATGCTATCTCTTGTTTTCTAGGGAACGGGTTTGTAAACTCCAGAGCTTCTCCGAATTTGATTGGAACTACTGGTGCAAACAGCTTAGGCAAAGTCATGCCTACAAAGTCGCCCCCTCCACCAGGCGGTGGCAGTCTCGGAATGAACAGTCGGAAACCAGATCTTCGAGTTGTCATACCCCCTTCAAGCAAGGGCATGATGCCTCCGCTGGTACGTAGGCCCCCCTTCAACTTCGTGTTTAAAAACGCTGATGTTTATATGTAGTCTGTACCCTCCTTTGGAATTTTATACAGTCTGTTCCTCCGTAGAATCTACACATTTCCCAGTGAGTGTTTCTGCTCAGAATTAGCATTTGAAGAGACAGGTGTGTTTCAGATGCACAAAAATTCAAGAGTTTTTCTTGAACCTGTTGTAGCGCTGAGATTTCAGGACAGCCAACTGGCCTGGGTGCTGGAAAGAGGTGTCCTATGGGGGAAGATGGCATTCGAGTACTGGGAATGACACGAGTGATTAAGAGTTAAGCTAGGGGTGCCTGGGGAGTTGGCAGAGCCAGTGTGCACTGGCTGGACTGTATAAACTAGTGAGAGCCACTCTGTAGGGTGAGTCCATGTTCTCTCTCTCTCTCTCTCTGTTTTAAGAATTATTTATGTATTTAATTTTGTTTATTCATTCATGTGTTTAATTTGACCAGAGAACGGCAGGAGGCAGTGAGAAAGCAAACCACAGGTCCAGGATTTGAACCGTAGTTGGTCATGTGGGAGTGTCCAGCACCTTAACCACCATGCCACCTGCTGGCCCTAAGTCCGTGTTCTCTTAATAGCCTTTTTCTCCATGAATCCCACTGGAGGCTCACAGGGAAAATTTAGTAGTATCCTGAAAAAGTCTCCCTTTTAGGACACAACAAGGAGAGGGGAAGAATAGGCAGCAGCAGAGGCAGAAAATTCTGCCCAGACCCTTCTCCCCCATGAAACAAAAGCCGTGATCTGTGAGGAGATGAAGAGCAGATGTTGCCATGCTTAGGGCACGGGTAATGGAAAATGGATAGTAACTCAGCCCACAGTGGACGAGCAGTTCATGCTGAGTACAGAGCAATGCCAGGATGACTGAGGAGGCACAGCATAGAAGGGACAGCTTAGAGCTGAGCATACAGTGGGCCAGCAGGTGGCATGGAGGCTAAGGCACTGGATTCCACCCAGCCAGTTGTGCGATTCAAGTCCTGAACCAGTACCTTAAAAATCATGCCGGGTATGTGTGTGAGTTTGTCCAGAATCCCGGGAGGAGACTAGAGGAAAAAGGATTGTGGTATGTTCATCTTCCCCTGGGGGAGTGACTCTCACTTTTCTCCTCCTGTTTTCTCTCTCCTTCTTTGTCTTTCTGATGAACTCATACACCCTGTAGCAAAAACTACCAAAAAAAAAAAAAAAAAAAAAAGGAAAGAAAAATCTGAGCATGTAGCAGTCATTGGAGGGAACTTAGCAAGCCCATTCCTACCTCCCAGAGGGATTTAAAGCCTGTGATGGGTACCCTGAGGGTAGCCATAACAACAGTGGTGCTTAAACCCTGTCCAGTTTCAAATTAAATTCACTCAAACCTTAGCAGGAAGAAAGACCTCTAGTCTTTTAGTCACTAGGAGTTACCCAAACTGAAATACAAAGAGAAAGAGTCAAAGAAAACAGAAACATCCAAGAGTTGTGGAACTTTGTCAAACAATATAACGTACTAGTAATCAGAATTCTAAAACAAAAGAAGAGAGAGAGAACAGAGCAAGAATAATATTTTTAAAATAATAAATGGCCCAGCCAGATCCCACATAGCTGATGTATCGTTCAGATCCCAGCCCCTGCAGCTTGAGGGATCTGCTGGGCACCGGTAGGGTGGAGAAATGGAGACAACCAGAGAAAAGAGACATAGCATACAGTAGAACAAAGATAAGAATTAGTACCATACCTCTCTTCAGAAACTACACAGGTCAGGACACAGTGGAGTAACACATTTAGCATGCTGACATTTTTAAAATTAAAATTTTAACACAGAATTTCATACCCAGCAAAAATATCTCGTAAGTGAAAGATAAAGACTTTTTCAGATAAACAAAAACAACGTATTACCAGCAGACCTATCATAGAAGAAATGTTAAAGGAAATCCTTCAGCAGAAGGAATATGGATGCTACCAAAAATTTGAGTTCTTTATAGAGTCATGAACATTGGAAACAGAGATAAAATTTATTTTCTTTACATGCTATAAGCCTTCATTTCAGGACAGTTTAAGGTCTTTAGAAGATCGTAAAAGTAGTACAGAAATTTTCCATGTATTCTATATTCACTGTCTCCTGTTTTTAACATGCTATATTAGTAAGGTACATTTATTGCAATTAATAAACCAGTACTGACACATTATTGTTATGTAAAGTTCCTACTTTGTTCAGATTTGCTTAGTTTTTGCTTTGTTTTGTCTTAGTGCAAAACAAAAGGGAGAGTGAGAAATCATCCCCCTAGGGGATGGCCATGCCACAATCCCTTCTCTCCATTCTCCTCTCGTGATTTTGGGCACATGTGCCCATCAGGATTTTTAATCTGCCAGGTCTGGGATTTGAACTGTGGTTTGATAAGAAACCATTTAGTGCCTTAACCACCACACCACCTGCTGGCTGCAGATTTCCTTACTGTTTCACCTCTTTTCTGTTCCAGGATCCAATCCAGGAGACTATGTTGCAGTTAGTCATTGTGTCTTCTTAGACTCCTCTTGGCTATGGGAGTTTCTAAGACTTCTTCTTTAGTGACCTTGTTTTGAGGAATACTAGTGAGGCATTCCATAGAATATTTCTCAGCTGAGATTTATCTGATATTTTTCTTACGAATAGATTAGAGTTACTTTTTTTTTTTTTTTAAAGACACGTTTTTGCTGTAGGGTGTGTTCACTCGCCAGAGAAACAGAGAGAGACAGAAAGTGATAAACCCCACCTCCTACCCCCAGGAGGGGGATGGCCACATTGCAGTCCCTTCTCCTCCCAGAAACTTGGGCGTACACAAACATGCACCTGATAGGAGATTTAAGCTGTCAGGTCCAGGACTCAAACCGTGGTCAACTCAGTGGGGTCCAGCAACATAACCAGTATGCTATCTACTGGTCCCTAGAGTTACTGTTTTTGAGAGAAGAAGGCCATGCTGTGTTCATCACATCCTGTCAAGGGTAAACACTGGCAGCATGACTAATGACTACCAAGATTAACTTGGTCACCTAGCTGGTGGGTGTTTCTCCCTTTTAATTGCTCTTTATATAGTTGGCTAGATAAAGCCGAATCGTGGCAGTATATTTTCTATGTATAGAATTAGGTAAAAATAGGGACCAGCAGTTAGCGTAATGGCTATGTCGCTGGACTCCCATGTAGTTGACTGCGGCTCGAGTCCCAGACCCGGTGGCTTAAACTCATGCCGGGCACGTGTGCGTGCATGCCCAAGATCCTGAGAGGAGAATGGAGGAGAAGGGATTGCGACATGGCCATCCCCCCTGGGGGGTGATTTCTCGCTTTCTGTCTCTCTGTCTCTGTCTTTCGGCGAGCGCACGCACCCTATAGCAAAAAACTCTCAAGAAAAAAAAAAGAATTAAGTAAAAATAAGTGACAATAAAGGATGAGAAAGAGAAATCGAAAATATACTATTGTCTCCTTACTTTACACAGTATATCTGTAGGAAATGATATATTTTTTTGAAGGCATACTCTTGAGTAAAGATGTGTCTGGTCAGAAAAGCTGACACATTTTTGCATAGAAAAACACAGAAAAAATACGTCATGGCTTTTCCAACAACCCAATGTATTATAAACCCTAGTACAACTATAGGAAAAAATGTTAAGACAAGTATAAATAATAAATCAAGAGAGGAGATAAAACAGAATGACAAAAAATGTTTTAATAGTTTAAGAAATGGGAAAAAAGAGAGAACAGATGAAACAGATTTAAAAGAAAAAGGAAGATGGTAAATTTTAATCCAACCACACAAGTAGTAACATTGAATGTGATCAGAACACATCAGTTAAAAGACAGCTTATCAATTTATTTTTTTTAAAGGCAAGATAGAGACCAGCAGAAGGTACAATGGCTATGTCGCCAAACTCCCATGTAGTCGACCGGGCTTTGAGTCCCGGATGCAGCATCTTAAAACTCATGCTGGGTGTGTGTGTGCTTGCCCAGAAATCCCAAGAAAAAGGATTACAGTGTGGCCAGCCCCACTGGGGGGTGATTTCTCACTTTCTGTCTCTCTGTCTCTCCAGCAAGCACATGTGCCCTATAGTAAAAATCTCTCCCAAAAAAGGGCAAAACCAAACATAGATGCCATCTACAGAAAATCCACTTTAAATATGAAGGCATGGATAAAAGGAAGGAGAAAGCTATACCACTCAGGGACCAGCAGACGATGTAGTGGTTGCATTGCTGGACTCCCACATGGCCAACAGCGGTTTGAGTCCCAGACCCGGTGGTTTGAAAATCACACTAGGTGTAAGTGCGTGCATGCCCAAGATCCTGGGAGGAGATTAGAGGAAAAGGGATTTCAGCATGGCCATCCCTCCTCACCAGGGGAGGGAGGATTTATCACTTTACTTCTCACTGTGTCTGTCTCTCTGGCGAGGGCACATGCCCTAAGACAAAAATATCTCAAAAATTAAAAGAGATATACAGAGTTTGGCAGGTGGCATGGTGATTAATTAAGGGTACTGGACTCCCACATGGCTGACTGCGGTTCGAGTCCCGGACCTGGTGGTCTGCATTCTCACTCTGTCTCACTCACTCAGTCTGTTTCTCTCTGGTCAAAAATCTTTAAATAAGTAAATAAAGTTAAAATAATTTTTAAAAAAACCACTTAACATGCTTGATATGCACATTAATTCTTTAAAAATAAAAAAGATATGCCACACAAACACTAACCAAAAGAAGAGGTAGAGTAGACATACGAAAATTAATGTGAGAGAACAGAGAGGAATATTATGAATGAAGAGGGACTTTGCATAGTTCACTTTCCAAGAAACAACTATCTTGAATGAATGTGCACAGAACAGCAGACCTTCAAACTACGTAAAGGAAAACAGAATAGGGGAAAACAAACTGAAATAGAAAAACCCAGAATTATAGCTGCTCACTTCCACACCCCTCTCAGTAACTGATTTGACAACGAGGCAAAAAAATGAGTCAGGTCCCCGATGGCCTGGTCACACTCCGCCAGGCTGACCTCGGCGTCTGTAGAACAACACACAGTCTTCTCAAGTGCACACGGGACGTTCACCAAGGTAGACCAGATATCCACACGCACCCCTCAGCCCATGTCAAAGCATTGAAGTCAACACATCGTAGTATCCGACCTGAGTGGAATCGAAGTAGACATCGATTACAGAAAGGCAAGAGGGAAATCTCCACACGCTTCTAAATTCAGCAGCACACTTTTAAAGAACTCGGGGGCCAAAAAGGAGATCTCAAGGGAAATTTGAAAGATAGATGCGTCTCGCATGGTGGCTAAGGCAAGTGGATTCCACACGGATGACTGTGCAGTGTGAGGAATCCGCACAGACCAGAGACACATGGGATTCTGGATCTGATCCTGGGTCAGAAAAAGGCCATTGGTGGGAAGACAACATTCAAGTCAAGTCCAGAGCTTTTATTCGGAATTTAATTGTTATTAGCTTTGACAGCTACACCCCGCTCCCTCTGAGGTCAGTGTGTAACAAGCTTTGTTTGGAAGCTCTGTTTGCAAATGCTAACTTTAAAATCGTTTCAGAATTCTGTTTTGAAAGCTTATATACATACATAACCAAGCAACAGGCTTCAAAAAGGAGCCAAGGGAAAAACTGGCCTTCAGGATGATTATCGGCTCAACTTTCAGGAGCTGGATGTACCATACCTGCCACCCACTTTCAGAAACAGAACATGACAATATTTGTATTTATGGCACAGAAATCCATTTGTAAGAATTACTAGCACACTGGGACCAGCAGTTGACATAATGGCTATGTCGCTGGACTCCCACGTAGTTCACTACGGTTCGCATCCGGACCCAGTGGCTTAAACTCATGCCGGGTGCGTGTGCGTGTGTGCCCAAGATCCCGAGAGGAGAATGGAGGAGAAGGGATTGTGGTGTGGCCATCCCCCCTGGGGGGTGATTTCTTGCTTTCTATCTCTCTGTCTGTCTCTTTCTTTCTGGCGAGCACACGCGCCCTATGGCAAAAACCTCTCCAAAAAAAAAAAAAAGAATTACTAGCACACTACAGAGTTTTTTGTTTTTTGTTTTTTTTTTTAAGTTTTTTTTTTGGCCATAAGGTGTGTGCCTTCACTGGAGAGACATCCCCAAGGCACAGTTGCCAAGCCTCAATCCCTTTTCCTCCATTCTCCTCCTGGAATTTTGGGCATGGACGCACACACACCCAGTGTGATTTTGAGTCTGCCGGGTGTGGGACTCGAACCACAGGCAGCCATGTGGAATCCAGTGCCTTTACCCCCATACCATGTGCTGGCGCTGTCACGGTGCAGAGTGTAAAGACAAACTACATCGAGGCATATAGTGATTAATAATATCACGTCTGATCTTGTGTTAAGAGATTGCGAAGCATCTCCCTGGAAAACGAAACTTACCAAAATTTCCCCCTCACATTACTATAGGTGAAAGTAAAGGCTATGTCGTTTGCACAGTGCCCTTGCAGGGTGTGACAGTATTTTGATGTGTACCTTATAGGTGTACATCTGTGACAGCGTCCACCACAGAGCAGTCGAAGACTGGTTTCCCACGTTTGCAGTAGCAGGTGTCGGCCCCACACCTCTCTCTAGAGTAAACCAGCCCCCTTCCTGTCTGACACCATTTGCAGAGAAACCTGACTCTCTGTACTTGAAATTGACAAGCATATATAAAACGATTACTAAAAATTCTTGCTTGTACTGGGGCCAGTAGGTAGACTCGGCACCAGACTCCCACATGGCCGAGCACAGTTCGAGTCCCGGACCTGGCAGCTTGAAAAATCACGCTTGGCGTGTGTGTGTGTGTGTGTGTGTGTGTGTGTGTGTGTGTGCCCAAAATCCCGAGAAGAGAATGGAGAAGGGAATGTGGTGTGGCCATCCCTTTCAGGGGGTGATTTCTTACTTTCCCTCTGTCTCTGTTTCTCTCTCTTCAGTGAGCACACAAGCCCTATGACAAAAACCTTAAGGGAAAAACAAACAAACAAACAAAAAAAACCTCTGGCACGTATTAACAGATTTTTGAGTTCCTGGTTTATAACACCACTAGCAAATGTAAGAAGGAAAATGTGTAGGAATTTCTATCAAGCAAGGAGTCTGGAGTCTAGCAGAGGAGTGACGTGTGTGACCAGGTCGGGCAGTGGGGGGCAGGTTCCGATTCACCACGGACAGGCCCAGCATCCCCCAGGTTCCACACAGAGGCTGCTACCATGGCCAGGAACCTTTTAGAAATATCGCCTGAGGGACCAGCAGTTGGGATAATGGCTATGTTACTGAACTCCCATGTAGTTGACCACGGTTCAAGTCCTGGACCCAGTGGCTTAAACTCATGCCGGGCGCGTGTGCGTGCGTGCCCAAGATCCCGAGAGAATGGAGGAGAAGGGATTGTGGCATGGCCATTCCCCCCTGGGGGGTGATTTCTCGCTTTCTGTCTCTCTGTCTCTCTGTCTTTCTGGCCAGTGC